CAAAAATAAAACAATCTTGTGAATAATAAAGAAAGGGTCTTATTTTACTGAGGGACAGGTTTATGGCAGCCCTTTCGAGTTATGGTTGTTACGGTTTATGAGTTCAACTCGTATTGTGTTCTTGTGTATTTTCGTATTATGAATTCAAGTCATATGTCGGATGATGCTAAAAAATATATTGTAAAGTTATAATATTAAATCAATTAGATAAATTAAAATACCGAATTTTTATTATTTCGTAATTCTTACGTGATATAACTTTTTGTTTGATCTATTTATTCATCTACTCTTTATGTCTAAATAGATAATTAGAGAAATTAGCTAATTTTAAGAATAATATCGACCCAGTAGTTCTCATCAACCGGAATAAAAACCCTAGAGCTTGATCTTTGAACATAATTATTCCATACACATATGAATTTTCCTTTTCGATTATAGATTTGGCTACATGTCCGCCGAGCTCCGGCGGCTCTAGTTTCATAGCTTTTCATTAAACAAACAAAAATATATCAAGTGAATAATTATTAAAAATATTTTTCAAAATATCAATACATACATTTAATCTCAATTATATGCTACTTTAAATGAAGATTAGTTGCTCAAAGAACATAATTAAGAAAGAAAATTAAATGAGAAAATAAAATCTTAATTACCTGAAGGAAGTAGTGGAGCACAAGCGTTGCCTGTGCAATCGCAGGTTACACAAGGGGTAACTGGGACTCTGCATCATTGAATTCTTACTCCCTTAATTACTGTTTATGTTTGAAATTGGCTTTGCAATTTGAGGTTTAAATAATGGCAGCTTAATTATCATTGCACATAACCCATTATTAAATTGTCACATGTTTATATATGTGCATACATCTATATTTTCCTAATGCATATATTTATTGCCTAATATGGAAATTTAATAATGCATATATCCACATCAGGACTTCCTAATGCATATATTTCCTACCCCAAAATAAATTATATATTTGAACTAATCATAAGAATATTTTTCACCTTAAAAATAATTTGTGGAAATGTGTACAAATCATCTTCTTTTTGCTAATACTCTTTTCAATATATATATATATATAAGTTCATAAAAATAATGCCAAATTATAAGTAAATTCACAAGTTAGAACTTTAACACAGAATGAAAAGTGAGTTCTAGAACCCACTTTATAGATTTACATGTATCTATAATGTGTTGATGTAATTAGAATATTGACTTTTCAAATAATTAACACTACTTGGAAGAACAAATAAATTGTGGCATCTGAAATATCACACTTTTTTTTAAACTAAGAAAAGATATAATTTTCTTTAAAAGAAGAAAAATAAATAATCTGATACTCTTAATTAATTTCAATAGACTTTTAATTTTAAATTTTGTTAAATTTAAAAATTGATTTAAATTTTATAAAAACTTGGTTTTTAATAAATTTGTTGAAAGAAAATCAGATGCATCAAACATTAAGTCTTAAACTAACTCTCAAGTCTATAAAAGTTAGGAATTAAGTTGACAAACAGACTCCTCCATATCAAAGACCAAAAAATATTTAAGCAGCAAAAATTTAGGCAGCACCAGCTCCCTTCCCCTTCTTTCTCTGCAACTTTTTCATGTAGAATTCCAGCTCCCTCCCCTCCAGTATATATCTGCCATACATCCATCAAATTTTCATCAGGATAAAAAAAATAAAGTAATCTTCTTCCGGCAGTATAAAATCCCCATCCAAGATGAAATTTATGAGGTGATTATTTCCTCATTTGCCCGTTGATCATTTCCCCATGATAAATCTAGAAAATCAGAAGAAATATAAGCAGATAGAAAGAGAGTAACATACCCATCAGCTCGACCGCACTGACCAGGTCGTGAGGAGATACAAGCCAATAAACGACCACCACCAAACTGCTCCTCAATGTGTGGGTCAAGCTTGCGATTGTTTTGACGCTTCTCCAGCTTCCTTGTAACGTGATTGCTCTTCTTCACCTCCTCGGTGGCAGCAGCTTCAGCCTCCTGTCAACAATCATGAAAAAAAATGTATAGGACCAAAATATTAAACAGAACATCCTATAAAGATCTAACCATATTGGCTAAATGTGCCTAAAAGAATCCAAATTTTTACAGATCTAATAGGCATTATAATTTGAGCAATTCGGTAACCAAGATTTCTATTTAGTTGTGTCCAACCTCTATGGTTGAATTTGATTAAATGCATCTATCAATTAGCAAGAATAAATATGGTGTCACTTGACATGCCACTTTATTTATAAAAATTGCAGCAACATATTAATAGTGCAAAAGAATATTAAAAAAAAAAATCTAAGAAACTACAGTCATTAATTTCATCTCCTTCATCACCCTGCATTTTACCCCAAAACAAAATACAGAGTGATAAACACAATGGTGGCAGCATCTATAAATGTTTTGTTCTTTTTATCCTTTTTCATTTTATTGTTAGCTTCTTATTTTATATAATCCAATATTGGTAACTTAGAAAAATCCTCAATTAACTACAATCATAAATATTGGGTAGTCATTAAACACAAGAAGAAACATTGTGCATCTAATTACTTGAGATAATAAGTTGGACACTTTATAGAATAAAATCAGATTGAATGAAAATAAAAATTTTGAATTGATGGACAAAATAGAAAAGTTTAGGGTACCTCTAAATGCATTCAGCCAACCATATTCATCCGCTAAATATTTCTAAGAAACATGTAGTGACTGAACTTGAAATAGTAGCAGCGGGGAGAACGATAAAAATGATGCAAGAGAAGTATTCTACTACAACCATAACTATGCAGGAGGACTATCGACTCGTATATGTGGTTATTGGCTTGACTATAACAATGCATGTCGGGCAACCACTGATGACAAGATAAAATCACATAATTTACCCTAAGATAAAAAGAAAAAGGAGTTAAACCAAGCCCACAAGAAATTAAATTCTGGTTAACGTAAACGTATTGAACAGCATACAAGAAGAATGGCTTGACTAACAACAGAAGAATGTGATACCTCTCCCTCTTTGTTGATTGAAGTAGCCTTTTTCTTGCGACCAATTTCAACACCATAGTGCTGGAGATACCACTGCTTGAATGGTGCGGCATCAACCTGAACAATGGCACTCTTCACTAGAGTCCGGGTACGAACTAATTCATTGTTAGATGCATTGTAAACTACATCAAGAATTCTGGTTTTGTGTGTGACAGCCTCGCTTCCCCAGGAATAGTTTCCAGTGTCGAGCCTCAAAGCACGCCACTTCACGTTTCCACCACGAACTTTAATCCTCATAACAGTATTATTGATTGACACATCTGTGGTTGTAGATTGCATTGCAAGCTCACCAGCAATAAGCAGGGGACGCAGAAATAAGGTCCATTGAAAATAT